AGCATACACTTCTTATCTATTTCTTCTCTTTCATTTCTCATTGTGTTCTGGAAAAATTGTTTGTAAGTTCTCATTAACAAGAGGGAAACATCCGAACAGGGAATAAATGAAAAGGAGAAGAATTAAAGCGCAAATACGAGACAAAAAGAGCTTCGAAAATACGAAAAGGAAAGAGCGAGGCAGAGGCTTACCAATGGTTGAATAAAACGGGAAAATGAGTGATGGTAAAAAAAGAAGGCCTTGGTGTTTAAAAGAGGAAGACTGATGTTCCACTGTAAAAAATAACAAGACCATTGATTTATATGCTGCATAACTCACAGAAAAATGTAGCTTTCAATTCACCGCTAGATTTAGGCAAAATCTTGTTTTTGTTCTCATTTACGTTTCCCTAACATTCAACTCATGTTCTACTCTCAAATTTGGTGAGTGCTGAACGTAATAATATTATTACTATTACACCTTTAAACTTCCAAAGCAAGACTCATTACCACCAGTCCCAACTTCATCGTAGGCTGTTGCTAAATGGGAAATGATGAGTCAACGCAATGATAACTTCAATTTCGCCACGAACAAAGTAAGAAAAAATTAACATAGGAAAAAGTTACTTAAGTTGGAGATCACACCATTTCGGCCATCGACGATACTCACAACACAATTCTGGATAATTTAAAATCAATAAGAAATAAGACGAGGAGAACCAGACCACACTAGTGGGCCCACCAGCTACCCCCTCTTTAGAATTGTACAGGCGTTATTCAGTTACACAGTTTAGTTCATTTTGGATGTGATCTGATCCAGCTCTGCGATTCAGCTTTGCCTGTCAAGGCCAGCTCGCGCTTAATGAAAACAGAAAGTTGGAGACGCTCTATAGAGCTAATCTTCTATATTCAGAAATCTAACTCCTGTATTTTGTCTGCAACGTTGAAGAGCCCAACCATTAGACCAAAGAGACTGGTACCCGGAATCTACCTCTTGCATTTTGAGTGCACCAGTAAAGAGCCTACCAACAAAAGCACAGACACCGGTACCCACTCCCTCTCACCTGGGCAGCATCCGGAGCAGCAGGTTCTCGGTCATTCGCTTCTCCAGTCTCAGCTGTTCCGTGCGCTCCGCCACCACAGCCTCCAGGTTGGTGGCGTACTTCTCCATCATAGCCAGCATGTTGTCGATGATGTTGGATTTTCTGCGGGGGAAAAAAATTCAATACTTTCTGTCAAGTTAGTTCTGCAGATTTTTATCAAACACTTCTGTGAAGTGCACGTGATAGATAATTATGACATACTTAGATCGCAAAGGCTACGTTACAATAAGATCAATAAGATAAGCTAAATTTCTATTTCATCTTTGCCATCATCACGGTCTGCAGCAGCAATAGCAGTAGCAGCATTAGAACACAATTGATGGCAAAGAAAAAGGAAACTTGAACTTAAAACAAATGTTGACAAAAGTTTAGATAAGTTACGTGTGTTTATGTATGAAAGAGTTTTTGTGGGTGTTGGTGGGGAGGGGATGAGACAACAACAAAAAGCATCTCAAAATAAAGATGGCATAGATAAAATTATTTTTTTAAACTAGTAGGGAGACAGAAAGGATAACAGATGATGAGATCAGGACACTTGGTCTGATGAAAGAAAAATACTAAGAGAAAGCAAAAACATTTTGTAGCAAAATTCGCTTTACAAGAGAGGAAAACTTTTTTTTTAGTATCTAAAAAGCTCCGTCTGGATTTAACAAGACTTTTTGGTGCGTAATCAAGTCTCACTGGTCTGACTTTAGAGCTAAAACTATGTTATATATTTCCCTCTATTCCCTCTTTTCACTTATCTGGGGCTTGGAAAACCCTTCGTTTGAGTGTGCATGGGTGACACGTGTAAAAGAGTGAGAGAGAGATAAAATGGGACGAGAGAGAGAGAGAGACAGAGAGAGAGAGAGAGAGAGAGAGAGAAGAGAGACAGAGAGAGAGACAGAGAGAGACAGAGAGAGAGACAGAGAGAGAGAGAGAGACAGCGACAGCGACAGAGAGACAGCGACAGAGAGACAGCGAAAGAGAGACAGAGAGAGAGGG